TTCCATTGCATTGGATCAAAGAAGTTAACTAGTTTTTTTGTTCTCCGCTTAATGAGGCACCTGAAAATAGGCTGTGTTGGCTTAATGGTGTTCTCCCAAACGATTCCAAATTGTATTTAAATTTTTTTTTTATAAATAACTCTGTAACTAGATATCGTTTGGAAACAATTTATTATTATTATAAAGTAACAGTCGGCTATTTAGCCGACAAAACAGATATGCTGACAAAATCAGATAAAATTTGCCGAAAAAAATTGTGAAACTGAATATTTTCGCATTAAAAACATAGCCAACAAACAAGTGAAAAATAGTCATTGAATGTAGAAAAAAAAACGGAAAAAAACACTGACTTGTATTTTTTCAAAATAACATCTTTGGAATTTTTAAGAAAAAAAAAGATGGCGTTAAGGCTCTTTGAATCTCTAGAAAAATTCGAGATTGACACTTTTCCGATGAAAATAACCTAATTTGAGATAACTGGATCAATAGGTAATTGTTTTACTTCGCTGGGAAGTGATAATTAAATTCTTATTTCAAAATTAGAAATCGATCATGTTTTCTTGACTTTTACATTTTCGTTATTCTGCTTGACTTCAGAAATTAACTGACTTGAAAACGATTCTACAGTCAACATTCTAAAATTTAAAATTGAGCCTGAACATATTTTAACTATACTACGTTCATCGACTCTACGTTCGTGAAACCAAAGATTCATAGTTGAGAGCGGAGAAACGAAAAAATTCTAGTTGAGAGCGGAGAAAACAAAAAACAAAAACAAAATATGGGTTTAATAACACCCCACACTTTTTCGAAGGCCTTAGACAGAAGGGTCAAATAAAAAAAGACTCTAGCAGAGTATGCAAGCACACAGGGGAGTGAGCGGTCTTTCAATTGATACCCCTTATTTGAAAATCAAAAGAAGTTTCTGAGAAAAAAGTTGTGTTTCCCTTGAAACGACCCAAAATTAGATCATTAAGCCGATAAAAAATAGGCCTTACTAATTTGGGCCGAGTAATCTTTTTTGAGCGAAACAAAAAAAAACTAAGGAAAAACGAAGCCAAGGCAAGTAAAATTACAAATTGTAGGAGTAAATCAAACACTAAAATAACATTTAAAAAAAATTAGCGCAGCAAATAAAAACCATTCTAAACTAAGCCAACAGATAAGCAGACAAATTGGTCGACAATTTTATTTGAAAAAGAAAATTTCCCCTTTGAAAAAAAAACAGGTCTCAGGTCAAATTCGAACCCAGGACCTTTGCCGTCCAAGGCATATTCGTTAGCTCTCGGCTGTTGGCCGGAAACGATAAAAAATTTGATTATACTATGAAAACAATGAGCATGTCAGAAGATGCTCTACAAGTGAAGACCCTCTAGAAGTGATCATTTGAGCAAAGTTGGCTACGAGAAAACAAGTTTTACAACCCGATTGCAATATCCTTACTTATTTCAGGGGTAAATGAGCAAATTGGATAACAATTTTTGAAGAAAAAACTAGAAAAACAAACAAAAAATTATATTTGGAATTTTCCAAGTTTTTGATTCCAAAAAGGGACTGAAAAACTCAGAAAAAAAACCAAATTGAGCTATTGTGCTCTATTAAAGTAAGCTATTGTAAGACTGCTCACTCGCTTATTTGTTCGAATTAGGACCAAAAACCATCAACTTTAAGCCGGTTTTTCTTGATACCGGACAACTTTTAGAAAATATTTTAATGTCATTCGAATCACGACTGAAAGGGCCTTAATATGATATATCACTCGACCCATTCCGATGATTATGCGGTAACTGACTTTGCGCGGAAAACAGGAAAAAAACTAAAACATCCGAATACGATATTCCTGCTGTTCTTTGTCTAGCGTATGCCGTTTTTTTTTTCTTATGAACGATTGAAATAGTTCTATGAGACTATAAGGTGGCTAGAATAATGTGCCAGTCAACGAAAAACTAAAATCGGGTACCACAAATAATCGGCGAACTGTGCCGAGTAATATATGATATTACAGCCCTTTAGGTCGCACCTTGAAAATTTAAAAATTTCCCCAATGTCGAGAAAAACCGAATTAAAATTTTTTGCTTATTCATCTAATTTCGAACAAGTGATCAGGCTTACACAGGCACATTTTTGCTAAGCTTAAGCATTGAAATTTAGTTTTATTCAAGTGAAAACAGTTTTTGGAACTTTCAGCGCTATCTTCGGAATCATAACCTTGAAAAATTCAAAAAAAAATTAACAATTTTTTTGAACTTTTTTTAAAAGTTACTAGGGTGTAACGCACCCTCCGATGCTTCGAAATTTAGCAACTCAAAAAACCCGAATTTATCGGAGATAACATCTGCATCCTTTGAGTGTACTCTGACAGCACCGATTTACAGGGTTGGTAAGTTCAGAAGTTTTTTATTAGTTTTTTAAATTCAAAAATTGAAAAAACTTAAAATCTTGAAATTTTTTTTATATCAAAGTTTATGATAAATGAAGAAACGTCACATCTCAGAGCTAAAAGCAACTGAGCAGAGGCATTTGGACGCAAGATTTGCAAATCCTGAGAGTTCTCTGACAGCCCCCAACTACGGTTCGGAATTTCAAATTTTGGAAAGAAATTTCAAATTTTCTGGAAATTTTTTCGAAAAATCACAAAAAACGTCACATCTGGAAAACTACAAATATTTGAGTAGTCAATTTTTGAGGCAAGATTGGTGGCAACTCTTGAGAGTACTCTAACAGCCCCATACTAAAGAGTTGGAATTTCAAAATTTGAAGAAAAAAAAATTTAGCTTTTTGAAAATGTTTTGAAAAAATCAGAAAAAATGTCATATCTCGAAGCTTTAAAAATTTGAGCAGTCATATCTGAAGGCTAAACCCACAATTCCTGGGACTAACCTAACAAGCTTCGTTAAATTTTTTTTACCCAATTTTTCTGAAAAATTTAGAAAAAAAATCCCAAAAAAATAACAGGACTGACATCTTCAAAGTTTTGGAACCTTTTAACATCTAAGTTTTTTTTGAAAATTTCGGATAAAATCATAAAAAAACGTCTTATCTCGAAAACTATAAGGATTTGAGCAGTCATATTGGAAGGCAAAATTCGTAACTCCTGAGAGTACCCTGACAGAGCCTCCTTACAGAGATGATAATTTCACATTTTGCGAAATTGTTTATACCTAAGTTTTCTGAAAAAATTTGAAAAAATCCTCAAAAACGTCATATCTCGAAAACTACAAGTATTTGAGCCGCCATAATCAGAGGCAAGATTCGCAACTCCTGAGAACACCCTCACACTATCCAACAACAGGATTGAGATCTTTAACGTTTTGGAATTTGTTAAAACCCAAGTTTTTGAAAAAATCATAAAAAACGTCATATTTCGAAAACTACAAGGATTGAGATGTGAGAATTGGAGGCAAGATTCGCAGCCCCTGAGAGTACCCTGACAGCACCCAACTACAGGGTGAGAATTTCCAAAATTGAGAAATTTTAAAATTAAATTTTCTAGAAATTTGTAAAAAAAATCTCAAAAATTGCCGATCTCGTAAACTAAAAGGATTTGGTTATTCATATATGGAGGCCAGAATCGCAAAACCTGGTAAAACTCTTACAATTTCCTACTATTGGGTTGCTAATTTCAAACTTGATGAAATAAACACTGAATTTAAACTAGAAATCGAAAAAAAACCTTAACTATTGCAATATACGATATAGCTTAAGCGTGAAAAAATTCTTTTTTTAAACATGCAAAAATAATACGTTGAAAGAGCTTAAACATGGCGAGATAATGAAGCCCGCATTCAAATATATAAGAGAAGAGATGAAAATTAAAAAATTAGGCGACGGGTTGACAGACATAATCAAATTAATTAAAAAAGCAGACAGACAGACTTAATTTGGCCACAAAAAAAATACTGAAAAACTAATGACCTGGCGGAAAACTGATAGAACAAATTTTCTTAAGCATTGCAATATATGATATCGCTTAAACATGAAAAAATTCTTTCGTTAAACATGCAAAATTATTATGCTTAAGCATGGGAGATAGCGGTCACTCGCATTTAAATATAGTATAGATAAGATGGGAAAAAAATAGCAGACAGACAGACTTAATTTGGCCTCGAAAAAAATACTGAAAAATTAATGACCTTGCGGAAAACTGATTGAAAAATTTTCTTAAGCATTGCAATTTATGATATCGCTTAAACATGAAAAAATTCTTCCGTTAAACATGCAAAATTATTATGCTTAAACATGGGAGATAGCTGTCACTCGCATTAAGTATAGATATAGATAGATAGATTTAAATATAGTATAGATTTAAATATAGTATAGATAGATAGATAGATAGATAGATAGATAGATAGATAGATTTTGTCGTTTTTCTACAAAATCTGTTTTCCAATTTGCTGTTTTTCAATTTTGCTGTTTTTGCTGTTTTCCAATTTGCAAAAGCTGTTTTCCAATTTTGTCGTTTTTCTACAAAATCTGTTTTCCAATTTGCGTTTTACTATGACTGTCGAAAGTTCTACTTATTGGTTCAGATACTTTTATCACGCCAGTGAGAAACAAAAACACTAATGTGAAATATCTTTTTTTTGAGACTATGGTCGGAACACTGCAACTTGCAGTAACCGGCTAAACTTGTTTTCAAATGGTTTATGAGTAAATGACTGAGGTCATTTATAAATGACATTTTAAAACGACCTACTGCGGCCTTTCCTTGAGTACCTAAAATTGGGTGGAAACAGGTACCTAATCGTTAAGTGGCCGGAGCAACAAGTAATACAAGAATAGTGCGATCGGCTTGATAAGAGTTGCAAGCTTGCCAGTCCCGATACGAACGTTTATATCCAGTTGCTGCTTGTTCCCAGTGATCGCTGTTGCCCAACATGATAATTCATTCGATCGATCCGTTCATTTACAGTACCTGGTTTTGAGTGGAAAAAAAAACCTAGGGAACATTTTCTTTTTCATTCAGCGTGTAGCTTGAACAATAAAGCAAACAAAGTTACCTCTAAGAGCAAGCATATGTGACTTCCGTATGAAAGAAACTGAGCAAACTTTTCGAGAGATGATATATTCTGCAAATCGGTCAACTGTCTCAGCATATTATTTGCAACTCTTAGTTTTTCCTTGTCAGACCTGAAATGAAAATCTTAAATTGTAAATTACATATGCAAAAATTAAGATTCCTGTCAGATTATTTTTTATTACCTAAGCGAAGAATTCTTGAAGTACTCCGATAAATTATTGAGAAGTTTTTGGATCCAATTCAAAAAGATTTGCCAAGACTCAGTGGAACCCATTGCTATATAACCAGCTGAGCCGCTATCAGCATAATCGTAGTGCACATCATTAGTGTCGGTACTCATCTCACATTGATTATCTCAAACAAAATAAGTGGTTGTTTTTGCTGCGCCATATTGCGAGGACAACTTCTCGCCGCTTGTCCTTAAAGAAAACACAAACGACCAGGAGTTTTCTCTAGTTTTCTTAAAAAGCTATCACGGAACAACCGGAAGCCTTACACGTTCCCGCTGAACCGTACCACTGGTACTCTAGAATGGGCATGTAGCCCGGAGATATGTCAAGTGGGTTCGAATCCGTAGTCATGATGTCGTAAAAACACCCAGGAGCGCCATAAAAACACTATGAAACAGTCGCCTACTTAAGTCACATACGAGGTTAAAGAAAAATAGGCCCTATAACCATTGGCTCAAGAGTCAGGGACACTATCTCTTGTGTTTTTCTACCTCGAACGGTCGGAGCCAAATCGGTTCACTTGCGACATGAGACTATAACCCTCATTACAGCTTAAAGGCCACTACCAAAATACCCCCCCCCCCACTCTAGAAATCAAGAACGTCCCAATACTTAGGTCTCAAAATACCCAAAATACGCGAACGCCGTTAAAAACAGGGTCGGAACAGTCCGTACAGTTGCGACATTCGACCAGAATGGACAAAATTCAATTTCAAATTGGTAGCCGCTGACCTTGAGAGTTGACAGTTTTGGAAGATTAGCAACGTTATTTAGACGATTAGACGATTCGCGAAGGTCAGAAGAATCTGGAATTTCTAAAATTAAAAATTCGATTTGTGACTTCACACTTCCAAGAAGTGACGAAACGGCCATTTTTCGAAGAAAATCAGAAAGAGAACACAACAACAACAGCAACGATAGTTGCGATAGAAACAACGACGAGAAATAGAAAAATACAATTGGAAATTATTTGAGACCGCTCCGAGTTGCAACGATTGTGTCGCTACAATCGTTACAGAGCCATCCACGCCAACGGTGAAGGGTGTTGGGACAGTGTGTCCAGCCTTCCAGAAAGGAAATAAGGACGTTATTTCTCCTGATTCAGGAATCCGGAGGGAACTCGAGACTTGAACTTAAACTGTTTTACAAGAACTTTCTGCTTCCTAGTTACGTCCTGAATTGAATTTAAATAACATCTAGTTTCATTTTCGGACAATGAGAAGCTAGGAGTGAGGGAAAGGGTTGATCCATCTTCGATGGAGATGATGATTTTTATCTACCGAACAAAAACAATAGTAATATAATATGTAGTAGTAGCCCTGTTTTTAGGAGTGACATTGTGGTCTGTGGATACTGAGAGTCAGCCATGAGCTCACTATTCTTGCATATAATTAAGTTAATTTGAGTGTTTTGACCGAAGCCGAAAGCAGCAACGTTTTTGTCGACCCGATGTTAGAAAGACCACCGAAAGAACTGGCTTTGGTAGAGACGGCGAAAAACATGTAAAGCTTTGCTTAGACGCTGGCCAGCCGTTTTATAGCTTAGCTTTCTTTTCCGTCGATATGTACTTCCGGGCGAATGTTACATAGGTGTTTTTATGGCGCTCCTGGGTGTTATTCTTTTTAACATCATGACCGGCAGAGCTGTTTACGAGCTCTCCGCGCCGAGCGGATGCTCATAATAACGCCCTTAATAAGGCCCTAACCGCCAGTTTGAAGGGTAGTTCGGAACGCGGAAGCCTTCCGGATTCCCGTGAATACTTTTTAACCTAGTTAAGACTGAAAGTTCACGAACCAGGAAGGGTGGAAGGGGGGGGGGGTGTTCGCCGTCCCATCATTTACTGAATGGTACGTGATCAAACAGACTTTAAGATAAACAAGAAACCAAACAAAAAGTAGTATAGTGCCTAAGAAAAACAAGAAACATAAAAAATAACCGAAAAAACCAAAAACAGTAAAAAAGTAAAAAATCAGTAGAAACCATCCCCCCAGACGAGATGTGATCCAACTCTCCCGTTTGTTGTTGTTTGATATATTGTTGTTACAGGCATTTATATCAGTCAGGATTGTTAAGATCATTTTTGTGGCCCGTTTGTGGTGCTTGTACTGTAGGGTTATTTGAGTATTTAAGCACGTTAATGCTAACTTGCGCTCAGTCCGGAAAGGTCTCGGGATTAGTGAAGAAGACTGATCCGGCAAGCAGTTCAAGGAGAGACAAGAGGGGGCTCAACGACAAGAATAATCGACTGTTGAAAAACCCAATAAACGGACCGGTTTTTAGGACCAAAATAGCGATATTTTGATCCGCCCACAAATCGCGATTTTTGAGATATGTATATTTTTGAAACCGAAAAAAGCGCTAAATTATTAAATTACATCGTAACTGTACTATTATAATAGGTGGAACCGGTTGAGATTAGTTCAGAAGTGGTTGGAACTATTTGGGTACCAAAAACCGAATTGTAGTGATTTTTGAAAAAACGAAACACTATAAAATAAGAAAAATTTGAAATTTTGAAATTTTTGAGTTAGGACAGTAAAAATTGTTGTTCGGACAACTTCCACTAGTGAAGCGACAGCTTTTAAAATCCGTTTGCCAATAACGTTCTGGGTTACAAAGAAATTGAACTTAACGTGTTTGATTTAGAGGATTCGTCAATCCGGAGGGGTACAAATAGCATAGTTTTTGGCAAATTTTTCCAACTAGAGCGTTTTAGATCTGGTTTTTTGCAGTAAACTAGAAAAAAAATAGGCGTTTTGAGCTCGGATCAAAAATTTTTAGGTCGAATAGAACAGAATTGCGAAAAAAGTTAGGCGGAACCTACAGAACGAAAATTTTTTGATTTTAGAAAAAAGCCGTTTTGGTTAATAACTTTGGAACTACTGGACAGATCCAGTTGATCTTGACACCATTAGATATGAAATTAAGTGAGCTTACACATAGGGACATCGATTATTCAAAAAAGTAAGCGTGAAATTTTTTTAAGATTGTTTTTAGCAAATTCACTGATTCGGGAAGGTAGACGCTTCACGTTTCATAAATTTTTTTTGGAAAGCCCTTACACCCCTACCAAAGGGTATTAACGGTTGAATAAGGCAATTTTACGCTGTTCTAGACAAAAAGGGAAGGCTAAGGGGACCAGAAAACCATAGTCAAGTCGAAACTAGGCTAGTGATAAGACCCTTCACCGTTAGGGTGAATTGTCAAATAAGAGGCTTAACTCCAATCCGGAAGGGTCTAAGGAAAGACAATACACCCTTCCTAGTTAGTTCAAACAGCATAATAGCATCGGAGAAAGTATTCGGAAGGGTATCGGGTGAAAATTTAGGAAGTCTCCGAGAAATTATTTTTACAAACCCGGTGGGGTCCCAATTTTGCTAATTCGGAAGGCTCCAATTTTGCCAATCCGGAGGGGTCCTATTTATGCCAATCCGGTGGGGTCCTGTTTTTACCAATCCGGAGGGGTCTCATTTTGCCAATCCGGAGGGGTCCTATTTTTGCCAATCCGGAGGGGTCCTATTTTTGTCAATCCGGAGGGGTATTGTTTTGTCAAGACTTAAGAAGACAACAGAAAAGAAAGTAGTTAAAGGTATTAGGTAATTAAAAGATAGGCTGGGAACCAGTGACTGCACTGGTAACTTGCCTTTTATAAAAAACCAAACCAAAACAAAACAGGTCTAAACTCGGATATTCGCGACACTTAGTCTAAATTGAACAAGAGTGTGTAACTCATTGGTGTGGATTGAAATCCAAAACGTTTTTGAGAAAAGTGATTGCCCTGAGGATTTTAGTAGGTCTAGCTCGGGCAGTCCGAAGGCAGATAGGTAGCACAGAACTCGATGGGTGCAATAGACGCCCACTTGAGAAAATTACTGCCTTCGAGTTTTGTCTGTTTGGTGCAGCACCAAGCAGGGAAAGCTCTTTCTTTAGAAACAAGTTCGACTATCATATTGCGACCGACTAAGTACAAAACACATACGTTTTTTGTAGAAAATATTCTTATTTTTGTTATTTTTGGTTTTAAATCAATAATATTTGTGCTTAATTGGGTAGTGACAACACTATCTTTTAAATAGACTGAAATCATCATACTATGCTAGCTTCATATTTTAGAACTAATTATCGATTATTGTGATAATGTATACATGCTGTACTGTGATAACATTCAAGGATTCGTAGTCACTTTTTAATATGAATTTTTTGGAATTTTTTGTGTTGTGTTATTACCATCAGTAGTCAGATTAAAAGGACACTAGCAACCGAATTGAGTGTATAGGCAGTAAGAAGATAAATCAAAAATGAGTTTAAACAATTCAAGGATACCTAAACTAAAGGTTAGCTCAAGGAAATTCATACCGGAGAAACAGAGAAAAGCAACGAATGACCCTTTTGTGGAAAATGTCACAAGAACCCGGACCGACAAAGGGGAGACGGTTTCAGGCAGAATGGTTGAGACCAGGAGTCAAAATTCCTCAGAAGAGCGAAAAGCAATGCTAGAGGAGGAGGTCCACACGGGCAAGGCCATGGATGAGAACCAAGAAATACCTGGACCGGAGGGGAGAGGAAACAGAAGGCTGGCGAGTGAATCTACTCCGGTAGAACAAGGCCAAGATTTTGCCACTTCCACCGGGACACTGGACCGAGAGGAGATGTCGGAACTGTCCGACATCTCTACTGAAATTTTGGCAACTAGAAGATCTCCCACAGACAACACCATGATGGCAGGCGTGACGGAGAAACAGGCAACGTCCTCATCGTTTTCAGAAAGAGTGAAGAACACTTTCGGAAACATCTTTCCATTTACCATGGGAGCGGGTACAGGCGATGAAGAAGAACCCCAGGAAGAAGAACAGGACGATGACGAGCAAGTTGACTTTTGATCTTGAGTCAGCCTCAAAAGTTCGACCCAGGAGAATGAAGCATACACCGACAGAGGGACTGGCACCATGGACCAATTTGGTGTAGTGAGGACAATAAGCAAAACCACAAACACATCAGGCCAGTCAGGAGACTTTGTGAGTGTGACGAATTCGGAAATGCGAACTGGGGAGAATAGAAACACAAGGCTAAGCAACGCACCGGCGAATCCAGAGGTGGATAATGAAAAGACGTCGAGGCAGAGAATC